ATGACAAAAGGCCATGACTATTTACCAGATTAAAGTAATAGTAAATACAAAAAGAAAGAGAAAGACAGAAAATGAATAGAAATAAAAGCAGAATGACATTCTTGCATGCTCGTTTCTCCGCCGTACAACTGGGATTGTGTTAAGACCTCTGGTTTACAAGTTAAGGCTTTACAAAAACTACCGTGGAATGGAGATATTTGATTTTAAACATTCTTTTATAACGTCTGGAGTGTATTTGGTGTTTAAAAGCAATTATATATCCAATCCAGATTTTAAAATATCAGCAATAACAGCCTAAAAAACTGAAATGTCAATATTGACATCCCAAATCAGACCTTGATGATTTATTATCATTCTACCCACTAAATCCAAGGTGTTTATTTACAATAAACAGACCGGGGGGAAAAAATGTAGTTCATATGTAGTTTTTCAGACAGCGATTGACAACAATGAACAATGAAATTATGTTGTATTAAATTGATGTATATTAATATATATCGTCTATATTAATATACAACGCTAAGCAGCACTATGTTGCCGGAAAAGGTTTTTCTAAATCATGATTTTGATTTTTAGCTCATCAACACATCTTTGAAATGGCACTAAATTCTTGATTCTCTCCGTCTAAAACCAAGTATCTACTACATCGCTACATGGATGCAGAAGTTTCTAACGTAATGCAGAGACAATCTGGCTTTACTCCCTGTAACAAATAAAGTGAGCAAAAATTCATTTAGTTATTGCTTTTTAAGACAATGTACATTAAAGTCTTCAAAAAGAATGTGGCAGTGCTTTATATGGCCTTCACAACATGAGTATGTTGAGGGTGTTTGAGGTACATTTTTCAGCGTTATTTGAAATCATCACTCCTGAACTTCTCAGAGAGGAAGGAGAGGATTTTGTCTGTTGTATGGCGAATAGTGTATTTTCTTCACAAATAGTCATATTTTTATGCTGGACGTAAAAATTCTTGGCTGTGCAGAATGCTGTTTCTTCCCTTTCTGTGCTGGCGTGTAGAAATGTTTTGCTTTTCATTATGAAAACATTTGTATCAGTATTTATTAATCCCCGAGGCTGATCTTGCGTCAGGACGGCACACAGCACATCTCAGTGCGATGTAACAGTATTTTCGTTGATCGTCCGCTGCTACATGTTTGCTCGACTGCCAGCGAAAACGCTCGATAATCTCGTATGAATCGATTCCATGCAAAACCTCATTAGATGGTGGCAAACTAAGATGCCTTTCATGCGTATGCTGCTATCTAATGCTACAACCTTATCATTGCTACTAAAGTTTCTGCATCCCGAAGTCACAAATAATATCATAATGTAAAGAAGAAAGTGTACTTTGGCTTATGCCAAACTTGTGGTTGCTTACAAGAAAGACATTTAAGATTATAAAGTGCAAAACTAAATTATCTTTTAATAATTCATAATATACTCTTAAATATTGGCCTTGGCGATTAATTTGACCAATATTTGATCTTTTTTTTGGGGGGGGGGTTACAAAAGTGGTCATTAGGCCTACTGTTTGTTTTAAAAATAATGGATTGCACACGTTTCATTTAAATGTATTATTTTTATGTACATGTTATCATAAAATTGTATTATATAT